GTTTTTCCAGTCGGCAATTTATAGCAATTGCCCTGGACAGCCATTCACGACCAACCCCTCTTCTAGGCAAGACACCACATACTATCGGGATCCCTCCCCTATCTCTAATCTTCCCCAGCGCCTCCCTATACCTCTTGAAAAGTTCCTCACTCCTAACCTTACCTATGTCGTTTCCTCCCACACTAAGACACACTACTGGATTGGTACCCTCCCCTGACAAAACTCTGTCTAACCTCTCGGCTACATGCCCTATCCCAGCCCCAGGAAAACACACCCTAGTCCTACGTTTTCTATCTCTCGCACAAAAAGCCCTATCCATAAACCTCACCTGGCTGTCACCAACTACCACGACCTTACCTGTGGGCAGGGTTTGTGCAACTGCCCTTTCCTCTCCTTGATCCATACCGTCCTGCCTCTTCTCTTCCTCGCCAGCTTCCTGCAGCACCTTGTAAGGTTACTACACTCCACACCCTGGTCAGCTTTCCTGAGCCTGACCCTAGTCCCCTTGGAGACAACCACTCTCCACGCCTGCTCCTCCTTTGCAGGTGTTCTGCTAGGCAGGACACCTACCTGAAGGAGTTCCGTCCTGAGGGCTTCGTTTTCCCCCTTTAGAGTGTCAACCTCCCTCCTCAACTACCCCAGCTGCCTCAACAGAGTGGCAAGGAGGTCGTCTTTCCCCACACTCCCCTCCTCTTCCTCCACGACACAACGATCCAAAGCGGCCATTTTCCTTGGTCTCTAACGGGAGCACGATCGGGCCTGATGAAATTTTCCCTCAAGTTTTGAAAGAGTGTAGGGAACAGAGTAGCGGACCCCTTGTAAATTTATTTACAAAATCATTAGACACCAGAGTTGTGCCAGACTTTTGGAAACAGGCAAATGTAGTACCTATATTCAAAAAGGGAGACAGAGCATCAGCGTCAAATTGCCGGCCGATCAGTTTGACGTCAGTAGTGGGGAAGTTTCTTGAATCAATTATAGCAGATAGCATCCGATCGCATCTAGAGAAAAGCAAATTAATCTACGACTCGCAACATGGGTTTACAAAGGGAAAATCTTTTCTAGCAAATCTGCTGACTTTTTTAGGAAAGTTTTCGAGGTAGTAGATAATGACGAAAATTACGATGTTATTTACTTAGACTTTAGCAAAGCATTTGACAGAGTACCGCATCAGAAGCTTCTGGGAAAAATTAAGGCTCATGGTATCAAGGGGAAAGTTTTAAATTGGATAAAATCATGGCTTACCGATAGAACGCAGAGGGTCAGCGTAGATGGTGTTAAATCTGAGTGGGGCCGTGTAACCAGTGGGGTTCCCCAGGGGTCAGTACTAGGCCCACTCTTGTTCATAATCTACATAAACGATCTAGATACTGGGATCAGCAGTTACATAAGCAAGTTTGCGGATGACACCAAAATTGGGCGGCAGATAAATTCAGGGCAGGATGTAAATGCATTACAGGAGGATCTAAATAAACTGCAGGGGTGGTCTGAAAAATGGCAAATGAAATTCAACACCAGCAAGTGCATCGTACTTAATATTGGAAGAACAAATACTGTCATTGTATACAGCCCTAACAACATCAACCTAGAGAAGTCGACTTGTGAAAGAGACCAAGGGGTACTTGTAAGCCCGGACCTACGGCCTAGAAAACAGTGTGTTAATGTTCGAAATAAGGCAAACAGAGTATTGGGTTTTATATCTAGAAGTGTAAGTCATAAGAGTGCAGAGGTCTTATTGCAACTATATCTTGCGCTACTCAGGACGCACCTCGATTATGCGGTTCAGTTCTGGTGCCCTTATTATAGAATGGATAATAATTCACTAGAGTCGGTGCAGCGAAGAATGCCGAAAATGATTCCGGGTCTTAGAAACCTTCCATATCAGGATAGGTTAAAGAAACTAAACTTGCATTCCCTAGAAAGACGAAGAGTGCGGGGAGATATGATAGAAGTATTCAAGTGGGTGAAAGGAATCAATAAAGGGGGTATAAATAAAGTTCTTATAATATCCGAGCAGGATAGGACTGGAAGCAACGGATTTAAGTTGGATAAGTTTAGGATTAGAAGGGAGATAGGAAGGAACTGGTTCACAAATAGGGTGGTGGACGAGTGGAACAAGCTTAGCAACTATGTAGTAAGTGCTGGAATGCTGGAAAGTTTCAAAGGGAGGCTGGATAGATTCATGGATGATAGAGAGTGGTAATAACTCTCGACAGGAGCTGCCATGCACAGGCCAACCGGCCCATTGCAGACTCCTTATTTTCTTATGTTTCTTATGTTTCTTAGTCCACTCAAGCACAATCATAAAATAAAATTTTTGCAGACGATTGTAATCTCTCTCCCAGCAACTCAGACCTCCATTCCTTGATGAGAACTATGAACACTAAATTGATTTAAGTCAGGACCCTGGGTAATACGTAATAAACTGACCTTAAAACTCGAAAAAAAACACTACACGGTCTTTCAGAAGATGAAAAATTTCCCCCCAGATTTGGACTCCCTGTACCTTTGTAATACAGTCTTCAAACGCGAATAAAATACAAAATTCCTTGGGGTTATTGTTGATGAGACACTTAACTGGAGAAACACACATACGATCCATTTCCAATAAAGTCAACAAACAGCTCGGTTTCATGTATCACACTCGACGGTCACTCACTCTTACAGTAATGAAAGAAATCTATCATGATCTTGCTTACCAACACCTGATACACTGTCACACACTATGGAGGGCCTCTGGCCCTTCTAAAACACAATCCCTTGTTACTGTACAACAGAGAGTTGTACGGACAATGACCTACTTGAAAAACAAAAAAACTGATCACATAAAAGCAATTTGCTAATTGAAAGTGTTAGAATTCGATGATATTAACACCTACTGCTGAGCCCTATTTGTTGACAAATTTGCCAATCACTTGCTTGACAACAATTATTTCCAGTTCCGGAATAATAAGAGATACAACTTAAGGCACCCAGAGCTACTAAGACCACCTCTTTGCGCTCCTCGCAGTCCCAGACCGCCATAAAATATCATGGCATGAAGGTGTGGAACAACTTACCCCCACCCATCCGAGCAAAGACTACGCTCCCTTCCTTTAAATCGTCTCTTAAAAAATATTTATTGTCTAAATATTAATATTTTTTGTAATACCTACTTTACTGTACATACCTGCTTTTATTGTACCACCAAAACCGTTTGATCAGAAATTGTCATGTGGATAAATAGAAATTACCACTGCAATAAATATATTTGCCAACTAGACATAATCATGACAGCTCTGTCCACTTGTTCCAACTTAATACAACCCGTGTTGTACTGCTTCCCTCATCATATATATGTTTTTTCAATTCCACTGTAAATTATGCATATACTTTTAATATAAATGTAAAAAGAAATATAAATAAAATAAATAAAATAAATAAATATCGAAGTGATAACCGTGGTAGCATTCTGATATATTCTTATTACCACCATGCTATGTGTATTATTCCAGATGATACTAAATGTTACATAATACTTCCTTGAGATAAATGTACAGTATATATGAAGTGCCTTCAAGAGAGCTCAGGCTCTCAACTGGCTCAGCCATGTTAATATTTTGATTTTTAATCGACTCTGTATCTGTGTTCTTCTGGCTGAATAAACTGTTTCAATATCCTGTCTGATTGTAATATTCTGTTTCATAAGCTGATTTTTTTTCTTTTTTACAGGGAATAGCTCACCCGGGCACAGGTCATCGACCTGGACTCAAGACAACTTCCAAGCAAGATTCATGTTACTTCAGCTTCCTTATGTGCCATCAGTGTGAACAGTGTTTCCAATACCTGCCCCCTTGTACGTTAGTGTTAAAACAGTCTGGGGGAAATAATTACACTAGCAATGTGTAAAGTGAATTGATTATGTAAGGTTCCCTAGGGCATATTACTGTCCTTATCAATATGTAGGGTGAATGACTGTGCATGATCTGTATTACCAGTTTTATGAACCTTGTATAAATTTGGTTATATAAATGATCTTTTTATTCATATTCTAATTTCTCTTAATTACTATAATACTTTTTTGTAATAATCGAACCCTCCATGAAGGCCTAATAGTAATTTTATTAAATAAGTACAATAATTATATAGCAAAGTCTGATCTTGTCAAGGAATTATACTATTCGTCTTGTTGTCTCATGAAAAAAGCCTAAGCGTGACACCTGGACAAACTCTGAAAATTTTGTTTCTTAATTCTCCATTGTCCCTAAATGTATTTGAGAAGACAATAAACTGTAATCTTGAAATCATGATAATTCCTCTTAGCTCTAAATTCATGGTGAGGTTTTATTAAAGCCTTTTTAATAACTGTGCATTATTTACCTAACATTTGCAGTGAAATGAGTGTTACCGCAAGCAGTAATGACTAGGATGACCCATAAAAATACTATGTTAGGCTGTAAGTCATGTCATGTTTATTGGGCGTGCCTGCCTGTATATAGAGTATTGAGATGGTGGAGATAAAGAGACCCAGAGGAGGTTGGGGTGTTGGGTTGTAGTAAAGGGAGTTTGTTTTTGTATAAACGCCTGACACAGCAAAGTCGGCCAGCCAGCACTGGGCCAGTGACGCCGGGCAGGGCATTTCCCACTGTAGCTATCCCCACTTTCAACACGTAAGTTTAACCTGTTCTTAAGTTTACACAGGTAGACTGAGTCCATTGCATCGGTTATCATTGTGACAACATAGAAATATGGCAAATTAAGTACTCATTATAAGTGTTAAGATTAGACTTATTACATAGCTATGATTTTTATGTGAATATATATATTAGATTAAACATTTATGTATGATTGCCTATGTATGATTTATTTGAAATACTAAGAATGAATTGTATTCAAAAGGTTTGACCAAATTATAACGTTTTAGTTCAACGTGAGTCTGATATCCCTTAAAGGCTCAGAAGGCGTTTACAGTTATAAAGTATGAAGCAAATTTTAAGAGGAAGAATATTATGGCTTCATACCTGATATTAAAGGTCTTGGCGAAAACGGAAAACAACCGAGTGTTAAGTGAGTCCAGGGGCGTGAATGTGCTGCCTGGGTCCTTGTTGTCTAGTGTGTAGTCCATGTAAGGGAAGTAGCTCACTGTTGAGTACTTCATATTGTGGCCCAAGAAGTTGCGGAACTGATCTGTTGAAGAGATCTTCATCAAGTTTTCAATAATACTTTCGAAGGAAACAAACAAAATGGCTGACCTGTACCGTAAATAAAATATTATCACAGGTATACTTTCTTTAGTTTAAAAATGATAAAGTGTTTTCCCCATTGGGCAAAAGTGACAGCTGTCCAGGGCTCAATCAGGGCTCACTAGTTATTCCCTAACGACGGTCTAACCAATGAAAAGCACGTTTGAAAATTTAAAATATATTCACGTTCACTTAAAAATATTATCATTAGCTTACATAAATATAAAATGGTACGCTGAAATACTGCAATGTTGACGTTATCAATGATTAAATATATTATATTCTCAACAACTCATGGGACAGTATTTACAAGTACGTATAGATATTTGCACTAAAAGTAACGATTGACAAACATTGGCATCTTGGGCAAATTTTCTTTTGCAGACGTGGGCTGTCACTATTAACAAGAAACAAGTAAAGCGCAAAACCGGAAGAAAAAACTGAAGTTGTAGGAAAAAAATCTAAAATTTTTCAATTTAATGGCAGTTATTAATTACAAGTGGATTTTTGTTCAAGGTGATATATATATATCTTGATCCGTTGATGGAATTGCTGTTAATAATAATAATAATAATAATAAATTACCAACACACACGTTATGTTGCAAAGAGCCCAAGGATTAGTCAACTTAAAATGTCAGTGATTGTAAAGATACAAGTTGACGGGGGAATTCATAACCAATAGTCTTGACCCATTGAGTTGCCAAACAGGTGAATGTTTCATGGTAATTTGAGCAGCAGTCATTAAGAAAATTCACATAGTACAGACAAGTTTAAAGTCTAATTTAGATATACAATGGTTGTGGAGGACAACAGAAACTCACCAAGAAAGAGGTCATCAAGGTGTACGGAGAGTGAGTTGAGGTCCCACTCATGAACAAACTGGACGTCTGCCTTCCCGATGTTGCAGTAGAGACACCGCCTGTATACCCACACACGCTCAGTCACTGATGCTGACCATGGAAAATTTTTTGCACTATAATAATCACAGTGCCTCATAATTCCTAAAGTTAGCATCGATAACGTTAACTACCATAAAATTTAGCGTACTTAATATTGGAAGAACAAATACTTATAATGTATACAGCCTTAACAACATCTACCTAGAGAAGTCGGCTTGTGAAAGAGACCTAGGGGTACTTGTAAGCCCGGACCTACGGCCTAGAAAACAGTGCGTTAATGTTCGAAATAAGGCAAACAGAGTATTGGGTTTTATATCTAGAAGTATAAGTAACAAGAGTGCAGAGGTCTTATTGCAACTATATCTTGCGCTAGTCAGGCCGCACCTCGATTATGCGGTTCAGTTCTGGTGCCCCTATTATAGAATGGATATAAATTCACTAGAGTCGGTGCAGCGAAGAATGACGAAAATGATTCCGGGACTTAGAAACCTTCCATATCAGGATAGGTTAAAGAAACTTAACTTGCATTCCCTAGAAAGACGAAGAGTGCGGGGAGATATGATAGAAGTATCTAAGTGGGTGAAAGGAATCAATAAAGGGGATATAGATAAAGTTCTTGTAATATCCGAGCAGGATAGGACTCGGAGCAACGGATTCAAGTTGGATAAGTTTAGTTTTAGGAGGGAGATAGGAAGAAACTGGTTCACAAATAGGGTGGTGGACGAGTGGAACAAGCTTAGCAACTTTATAGTAAGTGCGGGAACTCTGGAAAGTTTCAAAAGGAGGCTAGATAGATTCATGGATGATAGAGAGTGGTAGTAACTCTCGACAGGAGCTGCCATGCACAGGCCAACCGGCCTATTGCAGACTCCTTTTTTTCTTATGTTCTTATGTAATGCATTTGCATCCTGCCCTGAATTAATTTGCCGCCATATTTTGGTGTCATCCGCAAACTTGTTTATGTCACTGCTGATCCCAGTATCCAGATCGTTTATGTAGATTATGAACAAGAGTGGACCTAGTACTGACCCCTGGGGAACCCCGCTGGTTACACGGCCCCACTCAGATTTAACACCATCTACGCTGACCATCTGCGTTCTATCGGTGTGCCATGATTTTATCCAATTTAAAACTTTCCCCCCGATACCATGAGCCTTAATTTTTCTCAGAAGCCTCTGATGCGGTTCTCTGTCAAATGCTTTGCTAAAGTCTAAGTAAATAACATCGTAATTTTCATCATTATCTACTACCTCTAGTAGGTTCAGTAATTTATTGTTTCAAAAAAAAATGTTCTGTACTACGTCTAGGAAGTCTTCAGATTCATAATCACCTACAATGTTGTCCCAGTCAATATTTCTGAAGTTGAATTCCCTCATA